TCTCTCCTCTCTCATTTGGAATTCTTATCTTACAGAACCACTGAGAGTCATTTTTGCATGAAAGCCTTGCCAAATAGGCAAATTATTTCTTTCCTTTATGACATTATTTTAATGGGGTCACTGAACTGCATGAAGCTTGATTTTTACTTTCTCATATATAGTATACCGAGTAATACACATACTATAAAGAAAGTTATAATATGACTTCGGGAAGTCAAGTAGCATCCCCAATGTGGAAAAAAGGTGTGTGGGTGTGTGTTTTTGTCTGGCCTCACTCGAAGCTCTGCAATTTTGAATAATACACTTCAATTTTTGGTGGTACTTTACAAGAAGCCCCTGGGACATTTTTGCTTTAAATATATTGTAAGAATTGAGTGAAATATTCATTTCAAGATTCCAATTTATACAGTTAACTCTGCATAGGTCTAGTTTTCACACACACAAAGAGAGAGATTATGCTCTTTCCTGAGAAAATGCAATGCTTACATCTCAATACTATGGAAACTATGATCATGATTAAATAATTTGACTTAAAGGAAATGGGAAATAAAATAACTATACAACACTTTATTCTTTACATCAATGTATAGTTAAGAGTAGAACTCATTAAAAATAAGGTATGCTAATTTCTTTTCAGGGATTCCTAATAATTTACAATGGAATGATAGCTTTTAAAAACAACTGTCAGGGAAAGTCAACTTTCAATCTGGGCAAAGTCACTTTGCAATCTGAGGCGTGAAATTGTGCTCTGACATCTCTCCCTCTTGTGGGCATACAATATCATTTTCTGTTGTTTTAATTTTGTGCGCCTTGAGGTGGATTCTTTCAAGAAGTGTCTGAAAGCGATGTAACTCACTTGCGAAATGACGTTTACATTCTGCTCTTTTGTTTGTGAATGAACAGACAAACATTTGACTTGACTAGAATGCAATACGAATTCAGTTCTTGTCGCCAGTATCATTCTTTTTCCGTAATTTTATTAATCTTCTGAACATTTTGATAATCACAATTTCTTTTTTTTTCACTTTCAGTATAGATATATTTGACCAAGTATTGATCTTTCAGATCTACCCTTCTATAGATTTATTGCATTAAAAAAAAAAAACTCTATCCAGTCAATCTAAAAACAAAAGAAAGATAGAATGAATAACATACGATAGACAGGAAAATAGGTGGTTTATTATAAGAACCTGTTCTAGGATGTAGTCCCCCTTCATTGTCCCTTCTATCAGGCAGGGTTATTTCAGATGCATTCCTGTGCCGAAGTAGCTCGTAAACTTGTTTGTGGCATGGGGTGGAAAAGCAAGAAACATTGTCAAGTCATGAAACACTATCTTCTATTTTAGAACTTGTTGGAGATGCGGAGTTTAGTGTATAGAATTCAATCTACATATTCATTGTTTCTTGAAGTCTTTATTTCAAATTTGTAATTACATATACACAATTTGTACGAATTTTGCGACCAGCAAAATGCAGCCTCCTCCTCAACTATGGCTTACTATACTGCTTATTAACACTGCTGCTGCTCGCATAGTTGGGCGCTGTGCAATGCTGGGACTCTCGTAAATCCTCAGCCTCGCACCTTCAGATGCGGCTAGCATTGCCTCATCAGTTGGCTTCGGGTGGAGTTGCTGCAGCTGCAGCTCCCCTCCCCGCAGTCAGTGGGTCGAGTGCTCCTGTGGCAGCTGTAGTCAATCGGCTCAGGCTGCACAGAGGAAAGTGATATTGCTTCTGCACCTGCCCAGCATTCCCTCAACCTCCTATTCCAAACATTGGCGCCCATTTGCCTGGTCACCTGTTCCTATCAGCCTGCGCCGGTCTCCCTTGACACCAGCCCCACCGTAAACACACCGCTCTCCAGAAGAAGGAAGCCAGAAGCAGGATGCGAAGGTGCTGAAGGATGAAGGGGAAGGTTGGGGAGATGTGGCCTGAAGTGACAAGCGGAGGAGGAAAAGAAAACAGGACTCAGGAAAAATCAGAAGAGACCCCATTCATCATTACACAGAGAAGGTTTGAAATTTTTTTATTATTATTATTTTGTTAACAAAAAAGAAATTTTTTAGTTCAGTTTTCCTAAATGGTTTTTAAGTATTCTCATTCAATTTTTGAAAAATAATGTAGCTCTAGTGAGCCAAAAAACTATGCAAACCTTAGTGAAAGTCTGGGGTCCAAGCACTAGTTTCATCATTCTCATCTGCTTATCTCCACTTCTCCTAATGTGCCAGCTAAACCACCATCATCAACCGGCAAGTAATCATTTCATCATTGTAAATGGTGAGTGAACTCTCATTGGTTATATAAAACAACTCTTGCCTTCTTATATTTCAGCCTCCTAGTGGACAACGACCACTGAATTCCCGTGAAAATGTGCCTGTCTAACGATGCCCTAGTGGGGGTAGTGGAGGCCTGGTCTTGGGGGTTCTAGAGGTGCCAGACCGTGGAGGTGGTAAATGTTCCGTGGCATGGCCCGACCAGATCGAGGGACACCGGGGAGAGGAAATTTTCAATGAAGATTCTAGTACAGTGTGAACCAGAGAATTTGGGAGATAAATAAAGCAGAAAATAAATGCTCGTCACAAAAACACATTATTACAAAACATTCACATTACTGAAAATTAACATATGCCAAGTTCTTGAATATTCTTATTTATCTGGTTGATCTCTCTGACTCGCACACCACGCTTCCATATTTCCTCTTCTATCCCCCTTTTTTCTCCTTGATCCCCATCTCTTCATTACCTGTCTATCTTTCGATCTCTCTCGCCTGACTTATGCCTTCACTTCGATCTTCCCCTCCCTCATTTCATATCCTCTCTCAAACACTCTTCTTTTCTGTCTCCCTTCTCCTGCTCCCCTCTCCTCTCTCTCCCTCTCCTCTCTCTCCTCTCCCTCTCTCCCTCTTCCTCATCTCTCGACCTCTCCTCGTCTCTCCTTCCTCTCTCTCTCTCCTCTCTCCTTCCTCTCCTCTCCTCCTCCCTCTCTCTTCTTTTCCCTCTCCTCTCCTCTCTCCTCTCCTCTCCTCTCTCCTCTCCCCGCCTCTCTTCCCTCTCTTCCTCACTCCCTCTCTCCCTCTTCCTCCCCTCTCTCCCCTCTCTCTCCTCTCCTCTCTCTCTCTCTCTCTCTTCTTCTCTTCCCTCTCCTCTTTCCTTTTCTCCCTCTCCTCTCTTCCCTCTCCTCTCCTCTTCCCTCTCCCCTCTCTCTCCCCCTCTCTTCTCCCCTCTCTCTCCCCTTCACTCTCTTCTCCCTCCTCCTCTCTTCCCCTCTCTCTCCCCTCTCTCTCCCCCTCTTCTCTCTGCTCTCCCTCTCTTGCTCTCACCTCTCTCGTCTGCCTCTACTCGCTCTCCCCTCCATCGCTCTCCCCTCTCTCGCTCTCCCTCTCTCGCTCTCGCCTCCTTGCTCTCCTCTCTCGCTCTCACCCCTTCTCGCTCTCTCTCTCTCTCTCATCACTCTCTCTCTCTCTCTCTCTCTTCTCTCCCTCTCTCTCTCTCATTGGAAATTCTTCTTACAGAACCACTGAGAGTCATTTTGCATGAAAGCCTGCCAAATAGACAAATTATTTCTTTCCTTTATGACATTATTTTAAATGGGGTCACTGAACTGCATGAAGCTTGATTTTTACTGTTCTATATATAGTATACCGAGTAATACACATACTATAAAGAAAGTTATAATATGACTTCGGGAAGTCAAGTAGCATCCAATGTGGGAAAAAAGGTGTGCTGGGTTGTGTTTTTGTCGGCCTCACTCGAAGCTCTGGCAATTTTGAATAATACATTCAATTTTTGGTGTACTTTACAAGAACCCCTGGGACATTTTTTGCTTTAAATATATTGTAAGAATTGGAGTGAAATATTCATTTCAAAGATTTCCAATTTATACAGTTAACATCTGGCATGGTCTAGTTTTCACTGTTACTCTGAAATTTCTTAAATTGCTTAAGTTTTTCTGTCTTCCATCAACTAGTTAGCGTTTCACCGTATTATGAAGTGACATATGTGCAATATTAAAAGTATTGGACATGGAACTTGCTCAAAAACTGGCTCTATTTTTTGTTTGAATTTGGCTGAGAATAGTGTCAATGGTTCTGCATATGATGACAAACTCCATTTTGCTGTATTATTTTTTGTTTTTTAAAAAATTACAAGACGTGTCATCTTTTACTTGTGTTCAAGTATGAATATTTACATTTGTTCATCATTAAGTGCATTAGTTCCAGTATTAGTGCTTTTATAGCACATGTTTCTTAGAATATTGGTCTC